TGGATCTTGAGTAATCGAGAGCTAGGAATTAATATATGTATTTAATAAATATTATGTATTTTATTAAATAAAGCTATTTATTCCTAGCTCTCGATTATATATATAGTGTTACTATAGTATAGGTAATGAAACAGTAAATTATTCATGACAAAATTGCCGTTTCGATCAGAGTTGAGAAAGAAATCATAGGCCAAGGGATCAATATTCTAGAGTAACAGGAAGAAACACTAACGTAAAGATGAAGATGCGAAGCTACGATCAAAGGGCAGAGGTCAAGAAGTAACGTTATTATTCCGATTTCATTAGGAGTGAAAACGTCAGCTTTAATCACACTTCGCTTCCGCTTCGAATGGCGAGCAGTAGCTGCGAACTTCCAAGATAAATAGAATAAATTAGAGGAATAAATCGCTCGGTCGTAATGTTAAAGTGAAACAAATGCCGTCAAGTTTGCGTATCACGGCGAGTTAGGAGGGAAACAGTGAAACAGCGCGGAGCGTCGGGAAAAAAGGAGGAAGAAGATTGAAAGCGGGGGTTGTTCGAGACGCTTTAGCCCGCAGTTAGCTCGTAAACGATTGTCCCTAGCGAAAAGTTGGTGCCGCATTGTTGAAAGTTTCATTGGTTGCGCGTCGCCTTCCGAAAGTCAGTACATTTCCCGGAAACGCGCGGCAGTTGGACGGCTGCCAGGGCTACGGAGGAAAATCTCGAGCGCGAGGGGGTTAATTGGCTTAATTTCCTTTCGAGCTCCGTGGAACGGCTCGCCGGAGAAGTGAAACACGCTTCCCCTGCCTACCTCTTCCGCAAGAAACAAAAATGTTGCTTCTTTCCTCGCTAAATTGTTTCTTCTGCCCGAGTTACGCCGCGCCTCTTCCACCCGACGTTGAAATTGTTTCTTCTGCGCGAGGAGCCTTCAACTTGATTTGCGCCGCCGTCGGGATTAATAAAAACGGAACAACGCGGCTTCCGGTTTTATCTTCCTGCGATTCGCCGCTACAGATGTCCCTTTCCGTCGCGGTAATTCTCCGCTGAATTTCTGCACCGGCGATCGTTGAAGCTTCTTCTGAGTCTGAGCAATGGGAAGATTGTAAATTCTACTCTCCTTAATTTTAATAATTAACCACTTGAAAGATCTGTGAGATTGGGATGAACCGAAGCAAGGTTTAAAATAATTTTGATTTGATTTTAACACTTTGCACTCGAGAGGCGCCTTCAGTCATTTGATTTGACTCTAGTTCTGTTAATTTATGCAATTATTTCTTTATGTTAGTTGTAGAAGATGTCATTGATATTTCATCAGAGATTAATGAATATTTCTTGAGAAAAATATTCTCGAGTGTAAAGGGTTAAGTTATAATTACTGCTCTTTTCATTCGCACTCTCTTTCACTCACTCCCTCGATCATTCGCCTGTCGCTTGTTTACTCTTTGGATGATCGACAACTGATCGGCAGCCCTTACAACATCCAGTGTTTGCATTTCTTCTGTTCCTAACTGCCGCGTCGTTTGGGCTCTAACGGCTTAACTTCCTACAGCTCTATAATACGAGTGACGAATTACATTTCAAATCTATGCATCTTCGAGAAACTCTACGAGAGGTTTAAAACTACAAACTCGCTCAAACGCCCATAGATCACTAATATCCAATTGAAAACTTCTCACCCGAATAGGTACACTGTAAAGTAGAATCCCGCGATAAATCGCCGCGCGACTTCCGCAGCGGAGCGCGGAAAGAAGTTGAGCGAGCGGCCGAGCCGCAGCGTAAAATTTTTATCGATCCTTAACGAATCCTTTGTCTTCGCGGCTGGGAACTGTCGCGAACTTCTCCTTCCCCTGTTCGCTCCGGCTTCTTTCATCCGGGATCTTTGTTCCCATCTCCAGCCGCTGCTCGGATTCTTTCGCGAATAATGGGGCGCCGCGGAGGACCGACGCGAACGAGACGCGTCAATTATCGTTCCTCGGAACGGGGATCTCCCCGAAAAGTCCCCTCGCCTTCGAACGAAAATCTCTGGCGGATTTCCCTGTGCCGGTTTCCCTTTGGCGGATTCGCGGCGGCGACCGTCGAGCGGTTTGTCATTTCGTTTCGGTCAACGATACCGTTAGGCGATCAAAGGAAGACGGAATTCGAGAGGGAAACTCGATTGTTTGTCGCACGCGCCGAGTCAAAGAGGAACAATGGACAGAGAAACGCGCCGCGGCGCGCCGGAAACGTTCCCGCGCCGGTTTATTGGACAGCTATGCGACTAATTGTCGCTGTTTCGACGGCTCGTCGATTTTTCTCCGAGGAAAAGGGACGCGTGCGCCCTTCCGCCCCTCTTTGTCGGAGCCCGACAGCGGATAGGCCTTTGCCCCCGACTGTCCGACGCACGTCCACGTGTCGCCGGCGAAATATAAAAACCGGAACGTGCTCGCGACCGCAGAGTCGGAGCCGGTGATTAAATGGTCTGGCCGTGCTAGACAGCGATGGGACGTATTGAATTGTTTGTCGAGCTGCGATCGGGACAGAGGATTGCGAAGACAGTGTGATAGAGTATAGGATTGTTTCTTTGTTCGCGGGGTTTAGGAAGATTGCATGCATTCGACTCGATAGCGGAGTGTTTATTATCCTCGTGCGATTGAGAAGATATCGTTCCTTTTATTTCTGCGGATAGAGTGGAAGCAAATTATTGAGACTAGATTTATGGAGCACGGAATTCGAAGGATACTGAATTATTTCGATATCATTTAGTGACAGTTTAACTATCGGCTCGAAATCAATACTGATTTCTTGTAATTATTAAGATGGATGTTTCTCTGAGAACTGATTAAAGATTGATTTAGAAATTAAAATTTCAGTAGATACTCTGAGAGCTACTACAGAGGAATTTCAGAGTCAATTTAACTCGGTAGTTTGTCGATTATAATTCGTGTAAGTATGCGGCACACATTGGAATGCTCTAGTTTCGAAGCTACAATTTCAATACAAACGAACAGCTTCTAGAGCCGATAACAATACAGAATAAACGTCCATAAATCTAGCGTCAAGCCTCCCAACAGAAAGCTCGTTGAAAGCATATCACCAGCTGTTTGCCAAATAAAGTATCCATATGTCAGTGGGACTTAACACGTTGAATACGGTTTTATAGAGCAAAATACAGAAAATGGGAAGAGTAAAAAAAGTTCTTCGCTCGAAATATTCAATCCTTTCTAGCTAGATATAGACAAGACTTTAAACTCAATTTACCAAGAAATCACACAAATTAGGGAACAAAGCTATTTCCTTTCAATATTTCACGTATCGATTTAGTATACAAAGGTCAATGTTAAATGCGAAAATTTATAATTTTTCTGTATCAAATCATCTGACTAGAAGCCTCTCGAGTGCAAAGAGTTAATCTGAGAAATATTGACGTAAAATAGCTTTGTCCGCCAATTCACGTGAATTTCTCGTCGACTTAGCTTCACAAAATATCGTCTTCGTCTCATCAGAAAATGTTGAAATATTTCTAGTGAAAAACTTCGTAGTGCAAAGGGTTAATTGAGTGAACTATAGTAATTCAATTCGCTTGAGGGCCACCGATGACCCCCACGACATTCAACGTGTTAAACTGAAATAACGAAGGGGGCATCGAAGGTGCAGAAAAGTTGTGCAGCGTAAGCCGGCGCCGGCGATACGCGAGCGTGTAGCCGGACACGGAACGTGATGTAACCATCACGACGTAAACACGCACGGTTTTCAGCGGAATGTCAATATTCGACAGTTCAATTAATCCCCGATGTATCATCCCCCGCGGTGGCGGGGGCGTGGGGCGGCTGATATGGAGGGCATTGTGTCCTCCGGCATTCCGACCGAAGCGGGAACCACGAACGCGCGACGGTGCACAGTTACACCGGAGCCGGACCGTCTCCGGCTCGATATTGTCTCCTCGTAAGTGCCACGGGAAAATGCGGCTGACACTTATGAGGCTACATTTCTCGTAGCTACCCGGTTCTTCCTGCCGTTTTCTTCGGCGCTTTCTCCTTCTGGCCTTGGATCTCTCCCTCCCCTTTTTACTCGCCTAGGCTGCTGCTGGCTCTGTTCTCGTCTGCGAACGACGCATGTCTGGAATGCAATGGGAACGGGAGAAACTGCCGATGCGTCTACTGTTTTCCACGTCGATAACAATGGAAAGCTTTTCCTCCTCCTTCTACTACTTTCCTTTTACCGCTCACCTTCAGCCCCGATGGTTTTCAGTCGGAACGCTTCGGTTTTAGGAGAGCTGCACTTTTAGAGTCTGTGGGATCGTCTTGCGGTTTGAGCCGGTTTCTTTTTGTGGATGTGGGAAGCGCTTGTTTCCTGTATTGGGTGTATTGTAGATGAAGTATATTGTTATGTTGTGAGGTGTAGAATTTCTAAGTTGAGTAGTCTAGGAGTTTTTGAGTGATTTCGAGTGATATTGAGATAGATCTTTAGTTTATCGACAAAGAGATGAAAGAGTGGCAGAAAGTTAAACGGTAGAATTTACTGGAGGCTGGAAAGTCGTTAAGTTAATGTGGACAAAGTTACGATGCATTTTCCTTGCGAGACACAAAGCTGCTGCCCCTTATCTTCTTTCAAATAGGAGACAATGCACGCAATGACCTTGGATGGCCGGCATTCTCCCGGCATTCCCGCAGAGCTGCAACGGTACACATTCATTTCGCGCTGTCCGACCGCGGAATGCTCCTCGGGCGGAATGTCGTTGCAGTTTTCATTCACTTTCACAAGCCCACGAAATCGCGAAATTCCATGCCAGGCGTGTTATCTCGTGCACGTCCAACGTGTAGTGCATAATTTCGTCGCCACGCGAATCATTTCTGGAACACACATTGCTAGCAAACTGCATATAGTAACATTAACAAACACGCTACAACACACTTTGTGTCCTTGAAAGAAAGTACTTCCGGTACTCGATAATCACACGCTAGATCACGATTTCCGGTAGCGATTCCTGATCTACTAGAGGACTTTAACGATGATTACGATCTATGTTGCTTTTCTGTTTGCAGAATGGACGCGCGAGCAGCGAGAGCAGCGAGGATGGCGCCGGAAGTAGCGCGAGCACCTCTAGAGGCGCCGGAAGCGGATTCGGACTAGGGGGTGGATGCACCGGTGGCTGGCGCAGCGTTTTCGGCGCAGTTTCCGGTAGGGAACTCAGGCTCTATGAGTGCGCCCCTTGGAGTCCCGAAGCTTGGGCCTCACCCAGCATCACGTGCCCTTTGATTGCTACCAGGTGAGGAAATTATTTTTTTATTTTCTAGGGGTTGCTTCCGGTTTTTGCAAACATATTGTGGACACCCTTATTCAAATATTCTATGATAATATTGAAATGATCTAAGGAAGAAAAATCGATTTGAAGTTCGGTGGGATCGATCTCTGATCATTCTTGGTGGCTTTCCAATATACTATTCACTTCGCTGTAATGACTTTCGCATGTGACATACTATTTTTCCTATATATTCTTCAGAATCGGGCTATTGAAACATTCTGTTCATTTGTCTGACTATATCAGAGTTGTATTAGCTCCTAATTCCATTCACTTGACACACTTTTTTTCTATATATTCTTCAGAATCGAGCTATCGAAACATTCTATTCAGTTTTCTGACTGTATCAGAGTTCTATTAGCTCCCACCAATTACTTTTGCATGTGACATACTTTTTTTCATATATATTCTTCAGAATCGATCTATCGAAACATTCTATTCACTTTTGCGACTATATCAGAGTTGCATTAGCTCCCAATTCCATTCACCCATTCTTAATTCTACTATACCCCACTCGTTCGTCTGACCACACTCGACTTACACTACTATCTCACATCAGTTCCAGCACTCGCCAGGCTCCCCGGCAAACGAAAAAATAATTCCTTACCCGATTCTCCGTTGGAACCGCAACGGGCACCACTTACCGGAATGTTCAGCTAGCAGAATTAATCCCGCAGACAAACGCGCGATCGTAATTCATCGGCGCGAGATTAAATCGAGTCGAAACCGTTCCATCCTCAATAACCCGAAGCCAATTTCCACATTCGCCGGCACGGTTAAGTCCCGGGCAGCTTCTAAATTCTATCCTCGGCGGCCTCCCCCGTTTAGCGCAGACCCGGCCGCGTCGATAATTACAATCGATAGGTCGCGAAACGAATCGGCGCACCGCGAAGCGACGCCTCGCGTTAGCGGTCCGCGCACGTAACGCGGCAGCCTCCCCGGTCCCGATACGAACACTCGGCCGCGCACGTATAATAGTCTTAATTAAAATAGTGGTCTAACGAACACCGCTAACTGCGGTAATCCGACGTGCCTCATTGGTAATCCCCAGACCGTGCCGGTGAACACGAATGCGTTACGTTGCCTAGCCTAGTCTGGCGTGGTGTGGCGTGGTGTGCCTCTGGTACAGTCGTCGCCAAGATATAGGTGCTCGTAAAATTAGTCAGGTGTTAACACATTCATTGTCAATGGAGCTGATCGGACACTTGCCTGGTGACAGGCACCTAGTGGACCGGTTGCGAGCACTTCTTGTTTTCGTGTAATTAACAAAGTAACTGATTGGTTCTGTCGACAGTAAGACCTATTGTTCGGTGCCAATTGGTTCTTATTGTTGTTGAGTTACGGTATTAATATTGGGGAGTTTAGTGTTTGACTAAACAACCTTGGCAGGGATTTGGTAAAGAAGTCAGGGAATTAGTGTTAGAATAAACGTTTGTTTATTAATATCAAAGACTGATATTTCACGTTGAACTTTGTAAAATGTATCGATACGTGAAATATTGGAATAAACTAGCTTTGTTACTCAATGTATTTGTGATTTCCCTTAGAGTTAGTACCAAAGAATACCGTCTTTGTGTTGTCAAAGAATGGTAAATATTTCTAGTGGGAAATTTCCGAGTGCAAAGGGTTAATAGAGTGATCCTTGTTTAGTTAAATATTAAACTCCCCTGTTACAGTAACTTGATCACTATCAATTTGTCCTAAGGCATAGGACAGTGATTGGTGGATTTATTTTTGGTTCTGGTATTGCTACCTTTTGATGAGATTAGGTTCTAAAATGTGTAAGTATTAATAAACTTTCATGAGACTATGTCTAGGAAGGAAGCAACGACAGGTTAAATTGCTTAATAATCAAGAGGACAATGATGAATTTATTTCACTGTGTCGTAGCGCGACTGTACGATCGCCTAGCTTGCCACGGCGGTCGCATCCCAGCAGCTGCGATATCAAGCAGACGTACGTGCTACGACGTGACATCTTCTCGCCTCTCCAGGCCGCCTGCCTGTCTAGAGAGTATCACGAGAATGATCAGCACACTCTCATCCGTAATACTTGCCTCTACCTGCATGCAGGATAGAGGGCCACGTCGTGTGTCTGACTACTCGCGCTACGAACGAAACGTCTACTAATGTGTTTGAGAATTCCGATGATTTATGGAGGCGGGACTCTTGGTAGTCGTGTCGCCGCTGGGAAGATATTAAGGGTAGTTTCGCCGAGCCGAAGAATTCGGAGTTGCGTCTCGGGTTGCTTCCTGAGAAATGTCTGGGCCTTTTCTACTGGAAATGCCGATGGGTGGTCGTTAATCTTGTTACTTAATCGACACTGCTCTATGTAGAATTTGAACTTACTATTATTATCTAATATTGCAATCTTATAAAATAAGACACTATATCTTTACTCTCTCCTCTCCACACAGGACACACTGGAACAACTCTTTCTCTCAACTTGTGAAACTTCTCACTTTGCAATCGATCTCAACTATCCTATATCTCAAGCACTTCGACTATAAATTTCCACTATACGTTTATTTTGAAAGTGGCTGAAGTCCACTTGAAAAAGACTAAAGAACCATTAGAAAATCAGAAGATTATTCAGAATTATAATCATTATAATTGATCTTAAATAATGGACTTAGCTACTTTCGAAATAAATGGCTCATATCTTTCCTCTCCTCTCCACACACGAAACACAAACACAACTCCTAAATTTTTCTACGAAACTTCAAGACTCCGAATCGTCCTGTCGTCCCAGCAGCAATTACACCAATAGCATTTCACGATCCACCGACGATGCAAGTTCCACTCGCGGAACAGTTGCACAATCCTATAAGCAGAATCTGGAAAGCGTAACATCGAGTAGAACCGTCCTAGGGAAACCAGAGTCTCCGGACGAGTCGAGGCTTTATCGTTACAAGCGTTCACCGAAAAATTCGTTGCGCGACGCGGCCGCGGGGGAGACGGGTCCATTTGTTCGATTCGAAGAGCGTGTAACCGTGGCCGGGCCGCGATATAAGACGCGACAAACGGCACGGGGAAGAGACGCGAGAATGACCGCATTCCCTGGAATTGGATTCCTCGCAGGGGGTGCTCGCGATCCGGAAAGTTAATGCAGCCTGGGCCGAGGGAGCTTCCAAGCAGCTCGAGGGTGTGGTTAATTCTACGCCGGGCTAGGATCACTGGGAAACAAGGACTCGGGCTCCGTTTTCGACATCCGATACGAAAGAATCTCTTCTGTAACAAGGGTATTCATTTTCTGGACTTGCCTTGCGTCTGTTTTGGCGAGCCAGGGCTTGTTTGTGTTAGAAATGGATTTGGTAATGGTCATCTATGGATTCGAGAGGAAATGATATTTTGAAAAGAAAAATGAGACGTCTGTTGCTTTTATTTTAATCAATTAATGCTTGTTTCTATTAGAAATAGAATTGGCAATTGTCATCTATGGATTTAAGAGGAAATGATATTTTGAAAAGGAAAATGAGACGTCTGTTGCTTTTGTTTCGATTAATTAGTGATTGTTTCTGTTAGAAATGGAATTGTTAATTGTCATCTATAGATTCGAGATGAAATGACAATCAATTGAAAAGGAAAGTAAGACGTCTGTTGCTTTTGTTTCGATTAATTAGTGCTTCTTCCTGTTAGAAATAAAATTGACAATAGTCATCTGTGGATTCGAGATGAAATGATAATCAATTGAAAAGAAAAGCGAGACGTGTGTTGCTTTTGTTTTAATTAATTAGTGCTTCGTTCTGTTAGAAATGGAATTGACAATGATCATCTATGGATTAGACATAAAAACGAAAAGTTTCTAATTATTCCTCGGATCGTTAAAACTGTAGACGTCTGTGGAGCTTTCTACGGATCGCAGAGACTTTCGATTGATGCATTATGAAGATTCCAACTACTGTTTGCGGAGGATTTTCTAGATGAATTTTAGATGACTGGCTTACCAGGTGGATTTATTTTTCAAGCTGAACGTTTGCCAGAGGCTTCTGATTGATACATTGCGGAGATTTAGACCGCGGATGTTTGTAGAGGACTCCGCGGCTGAATTTTAGACGCGCTGGTTTAGAAGGATTTATTTCGGAGACTGCGAAAGTGTCTAGTTAGTGTTAACTCGGTTTTAATAGGGGAATATTAAACGAAATGAAGATAGAGTAACAAATTACGCTGCACTAAGGAAGTAATTTAATTGCGCAGCGAA